ACTTGTCGAACGCCTCGCCGATGAGCCGATCGTGCAGCCGTGCCGCCTCCCGCGTCGCCTCCTCCGGCATAGTGCGGAGGAAGTAGTTGAGGGAGGCGTTTGCGCAAAAGCGATTGAGCGTCATTTGGATCTGGAGCGCGAGGTTGCACCGCCGCGTGTCGTGGAGGCCGCACACGCCCTCCCGCCCCGCCAGCGGCGCCAGCGCACGGCGCACCCGCTCGACGAGGCGGCGCGAGGCCTCAGCGGCGTCGCCCAGGAAGGTCCCGAGCACCTTGATGACGAGCAGGCGCCCGTCGGCGTGGTGGGGCGAGCCGCGAACCGCCGCCGGCAGGAAGGAGAGGTCGCCCGTCGGCGAGTAGACCTCCTGCTTCTTCCGGTTGGACGTGACGCCGCACAAGTCGTCGGTGGCGTCCACGCCCGCCGCAGCCGCAGCGCAGGCCGCCGTCGGCGAGACGTCCAGGCAGTAGGTGTCGTCCAAATACGCGAGGCAAATCGAGTCCGGGCTGCGCGCCTGCATCTCGAGAAGCGCCTGGTGGTACCCAAAGGACCACAGCAGCGGCCCGAGCGGGTCGCCCTGCTGGCAACCCTCGCGCGACGCGTAGACCTCGCCCGAGCTGTCGCACGCCTCCACCTTGCCGTGCCCGCCGAGCAGCCAGAGGCGCGGGTCGACCGCCTCGGCGTCGTCGGCGTCGACCGACTGGTAGTAAAAGCGCGCCACCGGGATGAGCGAGGGGAAGAAGGTGCGAAGGCCGCGAAAGATGGCGCCGCGCGTGATCGAGTTGAAGCCGTTGACCTTGTCGTCGGAGAAGATGGCGCCCTCGGGGAAGCGCTGCACGAAGACGCGGCAGATGGCGATGAGAATCTCAGCGCCGCCCGGCGTCCCGCAGCCGAGCTGCAGCGGCGTATTGCAGCTCCTCTCGCGCGCCTCCTCCTCCGTCGCGAGGCCGTTGTACTCGCGCGCGCGCCACAGGTCCTCCCACGTCGGCGCGGTCCCCGTCAGCCGCTCGCCGACCTCGTCCTTAATCTGCTCCATGATGCACCTCCCGACAAGGCGGCGGAGAGCCGAGCCGATGCCGATCGGCCTGGTTCCGCCGTCCGGCTTGCGCAGCCCCACGAGGAAGCAGTCGCCGAGGAGGGGGCGCAGGCTCTCGTGGATCCGGCCCGCCGCCATCTTGAAGAAGAGGCGAAAGAGGACGTCCCTGGCGCGCTTCGACGAGTGGTATAGCCGCCCGAGCTCCTCGTACGAGAGCGCGTCGCCCGAGAACATGGCGCGCTCTTTGGGCACCCGCGCCATCACCTTGTGAAAGGCGGAAGCCTCGAGAACAAAGGGCGCGGCGCGCCCCTCGTCGCGCATGTAGTCCGGCTCGGCAACGTGCCGCTTCGCCTTCTCGGCCGCAAGCGCCTCGTCCGACACCTCCGGCGAGCCGCCCTGGCGCAGCTGGCGCAGCCGCAGCGTGTCCGCCACGTCCTGGGGGTGCAGCGCCCGCACATCGTCTCGGGGCTTAGCCTTGGTCATGTCACGCAGCGGCGAGGCAGAGAAGAGGCCGTAGCCCTTGGAGTAGTGACCCGCGCAGCAGAGGCGCAGCACGCAGTGGATGCGCTTCTCCACGTCCTCCGCCTGCCCCGCCTCCTCCGCCTCCGCCTCGACGCGCTCCCGCTCCGCCTCGCGCGCCGCAGGAGACGCCGCATCGCGCCACGTCGGCGGGACCGCCATCTTGGGACCGACCACGAGGCCCTTGCCGCCCGCCCAGTACCGGACCTCGTACGCCAAGGCGTCGTCCTCGTCCTGGACAGCCAGCACCTCGGCGAGGGCGCCGTCGTGGAGCACGTAGTCGCCGACGCCCGCCCAGCCCTCCGACCCGCTGGCCCGGCCTGCCGCCGCCTCCGCCGTGGCCCCAGCCGCGGCCTCCGCCGCTGCGCGCGCCGCGCTCGCAGCCGCCCTCGCCGTCGCCGCCTCCTCGGCGTCCACCACGAGATCGCCGACCAGCTCGCGCAGACGACCCCGAGCGGCGAGGCGAATCCGCCCGCGAACCTCCGTCGGAGACACCTGCACGGACGACCCGAGCCGACACGTGGTCACCGCCTTAAAGAGGACCGTTGCCGTGAGGGCCCGGCGACCAAACTCCCCGTCGACGTCATCGCTCAAACGCTCGAGCAGGTGGAGCAGGACGCGGTTGTACTCGCGCTCGGTGCTAGGGGGGCAGTGGCGCGCGAGGACGAGGTCGAGCTCGTGGATCCACTTCGAGTCGAAGTCGTCCGTCCAGGACAGGTCCCCGAGCGCGACCTCATCCTCGCGCACCGGCTGGCTGTGCTCGCCGGCGTGCCGAGCCGGACCACCAAACAAGCGCTCGCCCGGCCGCTCGCGCCTCGCGTCGGTCTCGGCCTGCCGCCGCTCCTGCGCCTCCCGCGCGGCCGCCTTAGTGCGCCTGCGCTCCTCCTGCGCCGCCGCACGTGCCGCCCGCTCAGCGGCGCCAGGCCCGGCCGCCCCGCCCGCCCGCGCCGCACTCCCTGCGCACGTGCGGTACCAGTGTGCGGGCGAGCCGAACGGGATGGCGGCGAGGATGCGGTTCGCGTAGTCGCGCTTCCAGGTGGCCGACGCCTCCGCCTGCGCGGCCACGTAGCTCGTGTGCCTCAGGTCCCTGCAGCCCGAGATGTGTTGCAGCAGTCCGCCCTGGCCTAGGATGCAGTGGGCGTCCCCACACACGGGGCAGCGCGCCACGCCCAGCCCGAGGAGCTCCTGCTCGGTGAGGTCGGCGTGCGAAGACGCCTCCTTGCACACGTGCGTCGCGAAGGCGCGGAAGGCGCCGATCTCGCTAGCCGGGCCAAAGATGCCCGGGCGGCTAGACCCCGGACGGCACAAGCCAGGACTGAGGGGCGCCGGCCACCGAACCGTGCACCCACGGCCCCATTGTCGGCGCCTAGCCCCCCCAAGCCGCCCCCCCAATGGCTTGGAGGCCTCCGCGGCCGCCGTTTGCCGCCACCGCTACGGTTTCCGG